AGGGAAAGCCTAGAGAAGCTGCAGACCATGGAGCAGGGCAAGCCTTTGGGCCTAGCTAACTCGGAAATGACCATGACTATAGCTTGGCTGCGTGCTTTTGCAACTATGGAAGTGAAAGACGAGGTTCTCGAGGACAACGACGAGAGAACCATCTACTCGACGTTCCCTCCCCTTGGAGTTTGCGGTGCCATTGTCCCCTGGAACTGGCCTATGCTATTGGGTTTGGGCAAGGTCGGACCTGCGCTGATGACGGGCAACACGATCATCATGAAGCCGTCGCCGTATACGCCGTACTGCGACCTGAAGTTGGGCGAGATCGCAATGTCTATCTTCCCTCCCGGAGTGTTCCAAGTCCTTAGTGGCAACGATGATCTCGGTCCATGGATGACGGCACACCCAGGAATCGACATGATCGCTTTCACCGGATCCATTGCTACGGGAAAGAGGGTCGCGGAGAGCTGCGCCAAAACTCTCAAGAGATGTCTTCTCGAGCTTGGCGGCAACGATGCTGCCATTCTCTGCGAGGATGTTGACATCTCTAAGTGTCTGCCCAAGATCGCGACGCTTGCCTTTTTGAACTCGGGCCAGATTTGCATGCTAGTGAAGCGAATCTACGTCCACGAAAAGATCTATGATGAGTTCAGAGATGCCATGGTAGAGTTTACTAAAAACAACATCAAGACCGGTGGGGGCTTTGAGCCGGATGTTGTTGTTGGGCCTCTCCAAAACAGCATGCAGTGAGTACATTATCAATGTTCAAATTCGCCGATTGCAACACCTTACTAACGATGATGGACCAGATATGAGCTGGTCAAGAACATGTACGCAGACATCGAAAAGTGCGGTTGGAAAACAGCACTGGAGGGTTCTGTCCGTGAAACCTCCAAGGGCTACTTCATCGAGCCTGCGATCATTGACAACCCACCTGAGGACTCTCGTATCGTCAAAGAAGAGCCGTTTGGACCAATTGTGCCGTTGATGAAGTGGTCCTCCGAGGAGGATGTAATCGACCGTGCCAACGGCCTTGAAACGGGCCTCGGCGCATCGGTGTGGAGCAAGGATCTGAAGCGCGCTGAGCGGATGGCCCGGTGCCTCAGTGCCGGGAGCGTCTGGGTCAACTCGCATTTCGACGTTGCACCCAATGTTCCCTTCGGAGGTCACAAAGAGAGTGGTATTGGAATGGAATGGGGCATTGAAGGATTCAAGCAATACACCAACACGCGGAGCCTTTGGGTATGGAAGAAAGTCTTTGAGTAACTGGTTGGTTCCTAGTGTGCGCAGGATCGGGCGCAGTTCCGGATTGAAAGGCGCCTGCTTATAGACGAACCATCGGAAGGCTTAATTCATCCAGTTTTCTTCATTGACAGACCGTCGAATGTCCGTCCGTCCGTCTGTCTGAAAAAGTCCTGTTTGTGAACTGAGCCGCGCGGATCGGAGCATAAGTACAAGGAGTATCGATGTAGCCACGGCCGACGGCACTGACAGTTCTAGGCCCGGTGCGGTGACGGGGGCTGAGCTTCAGCGCTCTGTTGCTTCAAGCAGGATTTGCCGAGTCAGGGCGACCAGTTTCTAGGACTTTGTGGGTCGTCACAGACACGAGGTGGCCGAAACGAGACTGCGGACTTCTCGATAGATGCAACGGCATCAGTTAATTGATACATATGGATTCTCAGTGCAGAATCCCGCATGTCAAGCAGGTGGTCTGAAGTTCCCATGATATCCAGTGTTCCCGAGTTAGACAGACGAGGTGAGTATCGGTCATTGGATGAACCCTCTGTTCGTTGAGCCAAGTCAACACGGATTGCCAAGAACCGATAGAATTGAGCACCTCACCAAAACTCCGGCAATTGGCCAAAAAGAAGCTCGCAGCTAGCGTTCCAAAATGCTTCTGGACTCTTTCTAAGCATTTGTAACCAGGATCAATCTGAAAATAGTCCTGAGCAAGTTACAACGGATTGTATCGGCAATATTTAGACTAGGCTTCGAACGTGGTCCGATGTGACGCAGCCGATTTACCCGGAATATCGTTCCTGAAAGCGAGTTCAGTTGCAATAACTCTATCCCAAAAGTCCGCCAGGTGACTTGTCTGGGGTAATAACGCAGGTCCGTCTAATCCAGATTAGGAGCCAACAAGAGAGGGCTGAAACGTCACTATTAATCTATTCGGCGCGCATGAAGCAATGCCACACCTCGCTATGTTCATTAAGGTTCTCGCCTCGCTGCAAGCGGGAACCCCGACAACGCTCAGGCCTGAGTGAGCTGATAGTGGAGGGAGCTTTCGCCCAGCCGCCAACGTCCCACATCACCCCTGGGGAGATTCTATTCGCGACGACACAGTCCCTGGAACCGAGGAACCTCGTTTGAGTCAGGGAAATCGCGATCTACCCGAGCGCTGGTCAACAGCTTCTCAGGCGACAAGGACAGCATATAAGAAAAGGGAAAACACCCAACATATTTCCTGATTATCATCCAACTCAATCAGCCTCTATTAACCCACTTCACTCATTTCATCAACTCTCACTCTCTTCAATAAACGCTCTCTTCGAGTAAACAAATCCACACAAAACATTCAAAATGCAGTTCCCTACCTTCGCTGTCCTTGCCCTGGCCGCCGTCGCCTCGGCTGCGTCTGTCCCTCGCGCCACCACCTACGAGACCGCCAACTACCTGTCTGTCTGCCAACAAGGCACCAACCTCTTCTGCACTGGCAACACCGGCGTCTGCCAGCGCGGCAAGACTGACACCTTCGACGCCAAGGCCACTAAGGACAACGAGGACGCCTGCAAGGGTCTTAAGCGAGGCGACAGCTGCACTCAGACCGTCGCCTGCGTCTAAGTGCAAGAGGAAACATGAAAGGGGTCATTTTGGATGGGTCATCATACATAAGCGATTTTGTTTGCGTCAGAGGCTTGAGCTTTTCAGCCGCATTTGGGATTCACAGCTTCATATTCTCAGTACATACAGAATAAAGACAATGTACAAACAGGCTCCGTGGTACCTTCTGTGAGTGCATGCCAACTATTTCCACACCTATCGCGGAAGAACAAAGGTTGCTTGGATCTGCCCGCACGGCGGGATTCAACGGACCACTCCTTCAATTGAGCCTAGATTTAGCGTAAGTCTACACTATTAGATGATCCATAGAGCGAGCACTGGTGTGTCGGTGATGAGCAAAATACACTTCGTATCTTCTTTCAGAAAGAGAAGGCAGACAACGACGAACATGATATCCACGCGCAGAATATATTGGTTCGTCAAGAAAGAAGCAAGACCTAAAGTTAGGCACCCGCTACGGATTTGGAGAGATTCGCTACGGATTTGAAGCCAGAATAGATGTGGTAAGCCGCTTCCATTAGCCCCCAAAATGGTCCTGGTTTGTCAAGTTCTCTAGGCAACCATCAAAACTCTGGTTTTCTAATCAGCGCTTGAAAGGCATTTGAGTAGGCTACACGTCCCGCTGTAAAGCTTAGTCGGCCCCATCGTTTACAAAGGAAGCTTTCAATGTCGATGTTTGACCTTTCTGAGATGAGGGTCGCGCTGTCTGGGCGTCCAGGGCCCCAGTCAGTCGACTCGACCTTCGACCTCGCCGAGTTGCATCACGCATTACCTCGCAGCTCGCAGTCTTCAGTGGAAACAAGCGTATCAAATACAAGAATACTCCAAAAGACGTCATGCGGGATGGTACGCCGAACAAGAAACATTATCACCGTGCGCAAGCCTCAGGTGATTCTAGAAGACCTTCTGTCAAATGCACCGTTGGGGGCCATTACTTTACCGACAAGCGCGCTTTATTACGGACCTTCTCAATCTTGCCAACAAGCATTACCAGAACGCGCCCAGGATCAAAAAAAAGATTTGTGTTTCGAAACATTCCGGCAATTGCCAATGGAAATCCTTGAGCGAATCTGGCTCCTCTCCATCCCAGCTCGAACATTGCACGCCACCGACCACACACTTGAGAGAATGGCGTGAAATCGTCGTCTTCCAACGACTGTGCCTGCTCTCTCTTGTCGGGAGGCCTGGACGATATCAAGGCCTCTGATACACAACATTTGCGACAATGGAAGGGTGACATGGACCCCGGAAATAAAGGACGGATGGCTTGGATCACCTCTTGTGATACACACAATATAGGCTCACCGGGGGGCTATAATGTTTTGCTGCACACGTAATACAGCCCCAAATTGCCTCAATTTGGACACATCGTTCTTGGCTTAGAGCAAATACAAGAGGGCCTTAGGATGGGCAGTTTATCGGACATTTGTGATCATTGAGATGGCTTCGTCTACCATAAGCTTGAGCTGATCGGGATCCTCATCCACAAAGTCGAATTCAATAGGGCGGGCATTTCGTGAGCAGTTGTCCATGCCAAGAGATGACTTTCCCGGATGTACATGCGATTACGAACAGGGTTCAGTATGGGGCTGCAATGCTCACTTTGTGGAAGATGTCGATATGAGGGATAATCATCGGGTTGAGGAAATCCTGAGCTTACATATTGCATGGGCTACTGGTGTTTGCGCATGGTCTCGCGGGGAGAGGCTGGATCGAGAAACGTGGTGGCAGAAGTAAGGTTACTCGCAAGCCAGGGAGGCGATGACAATGATGAAGGTGTTGGAGTTGTGGAACAAAACACTCCACGGCCGAACAGGAAGGTTACCATTTCTGGACTCCATCAGACAGTCCGCACTTCCAGAGCTGATACCCACCGTTCGTCTTCAAGTTCCCTGGATGTTCGCCGCCTGGCATTACCATGGATCGAGTCAATGCGCTCCGTGGTAAGTGTAGCGACATGTGCCATATTACCAACGGCTTTCCATCGGCGTGGTCTAATTTCCCGGGCAAGAGGTCCAAAGAGCCTCATCCGTAGCTTCGGTTGCGGATTGACCACGGCGAAGGTAGCCTTTGAGGCATCTGGAGGGCCAGCGGAAACACTTTGGTTGGTCAATCTATATTACACTACTAGGACATTAAAGGACAATTCGATTTTCAGTGGCTCGTCAGTTATAGCGATAAACCCTATTTCCTGCATCATCAAGCCTGGCAACAAACTCCCTTCCGCCGGCGAACCACTCGGCCAATCGTCGCGAGATCTTATCATCGGGCTTGATCACATATTCTGGTATCACGAGGTTGCCGTTCCGCCACCCTCGCGTGACCTTAGTGAGGCTACCTTTCTTTGATCGTTCCTCAAATCTCTTGAAGCCGGTAAGGGCAATGGGCCGATACCCGGAGAGGCTTTCATAGCGCAAGAAGACTGAGGGATGGATCTCCTCTTTCGTCTCACTCATGTCCTTGTCGGCGTTGTCTTCCTTGTATCGTCCAGGAGTACGATGCTTCGACCCTGACATCTTCATCATACCAGTGAAGCTGTCAACAATTGTGCCCAAAGCCCATCCATCCTCGGTAACTCCTTTCTTGGAAGCCTTATAAACCCCAGTGAAGTCCAGAACCTTCCAAAAAGGCTGGGTAATCCAATTGGATCCGTAATCTTTGCCACTTCTGAGGTCTTGGATCATTCTCTTTCGCTGCTCAACTTCACGATCGGCCAGGGTAGAGAGTGTATTGTACACTTCGTCATCGTCGAGTTGAAGATAAAGCTTGATTTGGTCACACATCCAAGCGAAGGATATGAGAGCAAGTTCTGCATATGTTATTGACCACGCAACTAATTTCGAGAGAAGATCAGACTTACGTTCGAAGTCGGACTCATCACCAGTGAGGATGTTCGGATTACCACCCCCAACGTTGATGTGGACCCCGGGGAACCAAACTTGGACGAGCTCTGAGTTGCTTCCCTTCAACTCGTCGTAAACCGCGCGAGCTATGAAATCTTTCCATGCCTTCGACTTCTCAGCCTCATCAGCCCCCTTTTTCAGAACCCTGACGAATCCTTCCTTTAGCTCCATTATATCTTGGTCGGGTTCCTGGAGATCACTCTGGTTCTGTGGAGAGCGGTGCCAAAGGGTTGGGGAGAACGGTTTGCGGTGCTCATCGATAGCCATCGCATGGAACGCATGTTTGATGACTGGATTCAAATCAGCACAATTCCAACATCGCACACGCTCTTCCTACATCCTCCCTTTGGAGTTGGATTGATCGGAGAAGCATGCAGAGTTAGGTGAAGGAGAAAAAGGTCAGAGAGACAGTGAGTGATTGCAAAATCTTACATGGGCTCAAACATGGATTGTGAAATCCTCCGTCGTCAACGCCCAAGAAAGGCGCAAGTTGTCGAAGTAGCTGCTTCCCCCACTGCGTGTAAGTGATGTCGGGTATTCCCAAGCTCCCCACAGTGTCGAAAACCCCGACAACCTGAACGACCCTGGTCCTCTCGGCAGGAATCCTGTGCGGAAGTACATCCCAGTAGGCATTGTTGTATTCGTATTTCCAAGAATCACCATCCTTTGCTGGAACTCCGGTTATCCACTGGCGATACTCTCGAGACTGGCGGAAGTTATAGCTGTCATGGTGTTTTCGGTATAGGGCGTAGAGCTCTGGAAAGTCTTGCATCTCCTGAGGCTGAATGATGCCAATGTCGGTGATGAGGCCAGCCACAGAACGAGCCGTGTATGCCCCCCGAGAGAATCCAAAGCAGAATATCTCGTCTTCAGGGGCATAATTGTTGACAATGAAGTTGTACGCTTCAACAACGTCACCAGAGAGACCAACGCCGAAGCCTCCTTGCCGTTCCTTTTCCAAGAAGCTCAGGTCTCCAGTGCCAATTCCAGAGCTGTAATATACGAGCTGTTGGAAGATTCTACCATCTGGGCCTTCGCCAGCTCTGGATATGGAACGGGCCAGTCGGGTCACGTTGGAAGGAATGTTCTTCTCTCCAGTCGTAGATGATTGCCAAGTTCCATCGCAGCAGATGACAATCCGCTTAGGAGCAACATTAGGCAGGATTTTGATTGGGGCTGATTCTGCGATGTGGGTTGCGGTTTGATATGAATAGGCGACTGGTTCTTCTACGGAGCAGATTTCAACAGTATCAGAGCTGTCAAAATCTGCTGGTGCTGGTGCAGAAGTGGTGGCTTTTACAGGTGTAGGTTCGACGAACGACTCCCAAAACCCGTATGGGTCGGTATCGGTGGCGAACGACATGCTTAAGGAACAACACCGAGGCGCATGGGACTGAAGATAATACTGTCTGAACGAAAGCCCGAGGTCATCAAGCAGAAGGACCAAAAAGCCAGGACTTTATAGAAGCACGCAAACATAAGCAGCTCGACTAGCTGACATGAGACCTAACCACATGATTTCTTGTATCAATGATGTGTAAATTGAATGTTTCGGTATTTCCACCGGCAATATGTATTCCGGCATGTTCACGACGCGAAGGCTGAGACCTTCAACCCAATTGGAGGAGTTCCCGATGTCGGTCATGCCGCGGATACCAATTGAAGTGCACCGCGAGGAATGCGCCAGAATCGGCCCAGGTTAAAACGGAAAGATCGGTTCGACCTGGCGTTTGGAGTTCAGCTGAAGTTCTAATCTGCATGTGAATTGATCTCGACCCCGACAACAGGAAAGCAGGATGACTCGCTTGAGAACGGATTTGATTTCATCGATTAACTTGAGTTGGAAGTCAAGAATCCCATTAGAATGTTGTAGTTGTATGTGGAAATATGCTGTTTCTAAGCTATGCCATAATGTAGACAGATAGTTCCATGCCAAAGAAATCAGGTGGTATCTCATGCGAAGCCCCTCACATCATGTAATCATCCCGGGAGTTCTGCTATCGGGCTCGGCGACCTCTTTCCTTTCCCCGCCTTGCTTACGCTCAGCGATTTTCCAAGTGAATAAGCCTGACCTTGATCGTGGACCTTGCTTCCATATCCATCCAGTCCATCTACCGTGGAGCCTCTCGGTGTCGCGTCGAGCTCCATTCTGTCAGACCACTGATGCGTGTTCGAGTCCAGTTCCGAAACAGCAGTCCCCGGTGTCATTGGACTGCGGCCCCAGCCATTCCCGCCTTCTGACTTTGTGTTGTCCAGCTCAGCCATATCGCCCCTCTGCCATTTCCGCCGGGCGAAGAACAGGTAAATCAGCACTGCGAGAAGAACGGTGCAACCTAATCCGACGCCAACGCCGATGCCAACTTTGGATCCTGCCGTCATGGTTGTTCCGTCATCTTCTTCGTTCGTATTTGTAGCTGTCGGCTGTGATGCTGAGCTCGTGGTTGTTATTGAAGCAGTTGTTTGAGTAGCTGTGCCCGTCGGTGTTGTGTTAGGTTGTGTTGGAAGTGGAACGTGGCCAGGTTGCCAGATGACGCTACCTCCCAGGGCGGTAGGTAGCTGGACGACATTTTCGAGGATCGAGGAATCGGTGAACGCGACTGTTCGTGATGTTTGGGGGCACCAGCATGCGTCTGCTGATGTGAGTGTCGTCGGTCGTGCCTTTTGCTCGCAGGCTACCCATTGCTCCGATGTGCCGTTGCAGTACACGAGGCCTGCCCAAGGTTGACCTGGAGTTGACACCTCGTCAATCACTCGTCCATCCCAAGACGGACCCCTAACGATCGACTTACTGCTCAAGGCACCCTTGTCTGGGCAGCTCGCATCCTTGTACTCTGGATCGCTGCAGCCGCCAAGATAAGTAACGCCAAATCGTGCGTTGTAGCAAGCCCGGCTTGACAAGCACATATCAGATCGTTGGCAACATGTGAATTGGCCAAAGGCGGTGTTGCCGCACGGCAGCCATTCGTCCACTTTTTTGCCGGACGCATGGTAGCATGTGCCGTTAGAGATGAAGGCGTTTAGCTCGGTCATGGTCGCTCGTGGTCCATCGAAATGCCGTCGGTTTCGAGGTTTGCTGAGTGAAGCGAATTGTGCGGTGGAGTGTCTGCGATGAGGTTTGGTAACGTCAAGCTACCACTGTTGAACGAGTGACATCAGGGAGGGAGGTTGGTAGATGTGAAGGAGGGGCGGAGAATCGCAGGCGGGATGCACTGGTTAAAGTGCTATCCCTTGCAACGACCAGAGAAGCGCGGGCCATATGATGTCTGAGGTCGTTTGCAAGGGGACATCGCCAAGTCGCCGGTGCGAGCCACATTAGCACCCGCATCCGATCCCGAAAAGTGAAATTGTCTGCATCAGACCGATGCGGAACTGATTCGCGTGGTATTCCTTTCGTCTGGAGAGTCGTCACATTGCAATCCCAGAATACGAGCTTGGCTGGGAGTAACCAGCGTCTTAGTCCCAAGGCGATGTCTACATTCCGACAAGTGGCATCCTTTGGCATTCCAACCATGATGTCACCTTTGTTTGCGATAGAGGGAACAACTTGGAACTCTGCTCCTTTGCCATCAAATCGACGGTCATTGATATTTCTGGCAGAGTAAACGGCCCGTTTCTCGTGTTTGCTGCGTACGGGTACATGCTGATCTACACTGCAGCTTTTCTGGTCTTTGTACGTGCTTCGCCTCGCGAGCTGGTCGTTGTTTGTTTCTGGGGCTGGGGTCGATGCTTTTCAATGGAAGCCAAATATTCTCCGCAGCTAAGCGACACGAATCAGACGAGACCTTGTCCGACGTGTCTTACAAATTTACGTCTTTGATAGAATGTGACGGTTTCCCTGCCACGCCATTGCCGCAGTGGCTTGGTAACACGGCTGTAGCGAGACATTTTGCAACGGCAGCGACTTTCTGACACTGAGGGAGACCGAGGGAAAAGGCTCCCTCATTTGGGTTGGGCTTCATAGCTAGCAAGGAGTCACAAAGTTGCTGCTTCCAATTTCGGTGACGGTGAATATCATTCAACATTATCGACTCGGTGTTCTGATTGCATGCAGAATTTCAGAGACACGATTTCCGCGTCCGTGTGGACCTGCTTCCGGCGAAGCAAATTCCATCGCCCGTTGTGATGGGGGGTCGGCCATTTTGGGTCCCGGGCTTTCCACTGTTCGCCAGACATGCATGACCACATGGTACTACAGGGGTTCCAGCGCTCACTCTTCCTATTGATTGACAACAAAGTATCTTGCAATATGCATTCTTTTCATGCCACGCGGCTCTTCTGGCAATGAGCCAAGCCGTTACCATCACTAGTTAAAGCCCTCGGGCCAGAAATCCTCGAGCCACTCATAAGGTTCTTCAGGCTCGTAAGCATTCAAGACCTCTCCATCATAATCCGTGATCGCGTCTCTGGTCTCATTATATAAGGCGTACTTGAGATCTGGACCATTGCCGATGGTGTAAGGAACTGTCTGGACATTGTTGGCAATTTCCTTGTCCACGATGACTTCCAGGTCTTGAAGCTGTGCATTCTTGAGACGGAACTCGTCGCCGTAGTTTGGATTGATCTTTGGTTTTGTTAGAAAAAAGCCTTCAAATGGCAATGACTCAGGAGTGCCACAGAATACGTACGATGCCCATCCTGATGCCATTCACGGCGACGACGTTTTGGATTGTCGCATTTCTCTTTGCTTGATTGAGACAGTTGCCACAGGACTGATAGAAAGTCTGACAAAAGGCATCATCAGTAAAGTCACGCTAGTATCATAGTCGATTTGCTCACCCCAAAATTCTCAGCGTAGAAGCCGGTGATGTTGTACTTGCCGCCCAGGGAGTTGTCTTTTGTTTGTTAGGTTAGGCTTGGCCCCTGGAACACGTTCGAAGCTGACTTGCCTTGGAAGATCTGGAAGAACAGTATGTCAGCAAACGGCCCGTATAATGTTTATTGAAGACAAAAGAGGCTTTCGAACAGCCCAAAGAGAATTTCTACCTTATCTGTTGCGTTCCGAGCTCCACCGCCGATGACTCGTAGTTGTGTGTTAAGGCCCTTGGATGTAAGTGCATCTTCGCAGACGTCTTCCCACCAAACTATAGGCAGGTCAGATGGATGCCATGCGCAGCATTTGGTGCCATACCATTCTCAACCCAAGCGTCACCCAGTGCATGGATGCCTTCAGCTTGATGCTTGCCGATGATGACGTTGCGAATGGTCGAGCCCGGCAGGAGGTTGAAGACAGCATCAGCATCCGTGCCCTCTGAAAGACCCAATATTCGTTAGCCTAGGGTTGACTCTTGTCAGGTGTTCATGTTGACTCGCCTGCTTGTTCGTTGCAGCTGCCCTCAACACGCTCATACCGTTTCATACCACCGTCAAAAACCTGACCGGGAAGAATGTACATTGTCTGTTCCAGGACAACGGTCTCCTTGGCTACAGGGAACTTGGTGACTGGGAATGGAAAACGCGGAGGAGGGCGTTCACCCAGGTCGCCTTGGGTGCTGTCGGCTGAGCCACCAGGTCCGTCCCCGGTTTGGCGTCGGTCAATGACCCCAGCCTGCACCAAAGCAGGCAAGAGTGAAAAGAGGGAGGTAGAAGCGATCTTCATTTCGAGGGTTCCTCAGTGTGGTGTGTGGGCTGGATGTAGACGCTGGTCAAAGAAACCACAGAAAGATGTTTGGAGTCAATTGGTACTTCTGAACAACATTAACAATGTCTCAGGCGGCTCCATGGCCATGGAAAGATTAAGCCTTTATATACTTGTAGATAGCATAAGTTGATCAGGCAAGCATCTGTGGGCATTGAGCTCGCGAAGCTATGTCATTTCTTGATTACGTAGCTAACGAAGCTCTCCAAATGGCGTCCAGGTCTTGACTGCTAGCTACACATGGCTAAATAGCTGTAAGCATGCAGCGGAAAATTGACTTTCTGGTTTCCGTGAATCAGTGGTCGAGGATGAGCATGCAAGTCCCTTGGCAAGTGCTTGGCGCTGTCGCCCAAGGCCTAGCTCAAGCTGTTGGCCGAGTACACAACTTGCACATCTATCCCGACAGAGCGGCTCGACCCCAGGTTTCCACTGCATCGGCCGCGTTTGAAAAGATGAGAGAGGTGGAAATTTCCCCGGATGGCGAGAGCTTGGCTAGAGTAATGCCAAGGATTGTAGGATGGGGTTGGACAAATGAAGTGCTTTTTCCTATGGTGTTCAGCTCGAGTTATTTGACCTGAAAAGATTGTGACACTCAAAAATAGACAATGCGTGCGGGGAACAGAGAAAGCAGACATCGAACGCTGGGGATAGGGGAAGTTCAGGTCGTTCTGCTGTTCCTATGATGTTCTTTCGGTGTTACATTCCCCACACTATAACATCTTCAGGAAACGCAGCTCACATTGAGAATTGAAACACACTACCTGCAGTGTCTCAATACAAGCAAAGAATGTAAAAGTAATGATGCCCTCCGTCAAAATGGTGACCGAGTAACACAGCCGCTAGGATCTGTATTTAGGAGGATAGTATAGCCCTACCCGTGGGATTTGATCCCAGGTGAGATGATGTCCATCGATATCGTAGCGACCGTCGACTAGCTCCATTCTAGCCATCCTACTTTCTGTAGCTCTTTTACCGCCAAGAGTAACGCGATCCAGTACTTGTTTCAACCACTCCGCGACATCCGTATAGTCAGCAATAGTAGCCTCATCGGCGGCGGTGTGCCCAGCAGCGTTCTTCCTGGCAAGTAGAACAGTAGCCACCATGTAGTCAGGCACCCACAGAGGGTCGACATCGGTTTCGAACTCGGGTAGATCGTGACCGATAGGGGCGTAGACTTCAGAGCCGGGCTTGTCAGGGACTTTGTCCCAGTCTATGACCTGCCAGAAGTGTTGCCAGGCCGCATTGATGATGTCAAGACGGCCCATGCGGGCTGCGACGTGGAAGATGGTATCTCCAGCTTTGTTGCGAAGGAAGAAGACGGCTCTGAAGCATGTCATGAACCAGCTGTTGCGACTCCATTCCCTCCCAAAGCTTTGTCCAGTGGCATCGAAGGATTTGATATTTCCAACAGCGGCTGCGACGTGCATAGCGGTACCACCTGTGTCGGGATCGGTGACCCAGCCCATCAAGTCCTCGAAGTTGAAGTCGTGGGAAAGGTTATCAATGTAATAGGACGCGAGGGGAATATCCCGCTTATTTTCCGTACGGAAAAGGTCAAGGAACTCACGCGAAGCGTCGGGATCAATTCCCTCTGCGGGAGGGGAAGTAATGAATCCCATGTCCTCGTCTGGATTTGTCTCGATTGGTTCAGACATGGTTCTGGTTGTCCTAGTTATGGCGCAGATGGGGAGGAATGACGAGAGAACAACACGTCATTGAAAGGGCAGAATCTAATTGCAGTTCAAGGGAGCAGGTGTTTGTTTGAGTTTCACACTGTTACGCGAGAGGCAAAGGCGATCATGTGACTGATATACCGCGCAGAAATTAGGCATCAGTGACGGCTTATTGGCTAAAAGATGCACGGGCTGAATGACAGCACCGAGGTATGTCAATTCTATATGTCATCCATGAATCACAGATGATTCCTTTCCTGTGGCTCATGGAAATACTAGATGATGCACTCCACGGCATTTGAAAGTCGGCAGGCTAAAATGTTGTTCATCAATTGAACTAAAGAAGAGATATATCTATAATTTCCAATAAGGCCTTGCGTCTATCGCAAGGCCGTTCCTGTGACTCAATGACCAGTCTTCCCCTTGACACTACTCCACTCTATACCCAAAGAAGGCACAACAGCAGAGCATGCTACCGCCAGCCCAACATAGAAGTAGTTTCTGAGTGCTGCGTTATATTCACCAAGGACAGCTTCCAGAATATCCGTGGGGATGATATCCCGCAAATGTGTGACACCCTGGCTAGCAAGTTTGGAAACATCCAAGTCAGGAAACTGGCTGAGTCGAGAAGTTAATGACTCATTGAAGACAGCCTGACCAACGCACACCAGTACCGAGCCACCTAGTGACTGAGCAAAGAACATCAGCGAAACGCCTGTGGGCACGTCCTTCTGCTCCAGTGAGACCTGTGCCCCAAGACTTGCGAGTTGCATACCCTGGCCAATACCGAGACCAAGAATGATCTGGTATCCAATCCAGGTGGGCGTTGGTGTGTGAACACCAAATGTTGAGATTAGTCCTCCACCTACAGACATGAAGATGACCGAGGAGAAGAACACGGGGTTGAACCATCCAATTCCGTTGATCACAGCACCGGATACCATTGCCCCGAAGACGAGAGCAAGGACGAGAGGAAGGGTGTCGATGCCAGAGGTGACGGCGTCGGTGCCTCTGATGCCCTGGAACCAGATCGGCAAAGCGACCAAGAAAACAATGAGGACAGCTCCGAGGCAAAAAGAGAAGACTGCTCCGAGCCAGATGTTGCGGACCGTGAAAAGACGAGGCGGCACTGTGGCATTCTCCCGCTGCCAGATCTGAACACTGACAAATATTATGAGGAGAACACCAGCAAGAACCAAGAGAGCGATGATGCGTCCGCTGTTCCAGGGGTATTTCTCTCCGCCCCATTGTAGTGCGAGAATCAAGCAAATGACGCCAGGCAGGAAGACAAGATTTCCAAGGGGATCAAGTTGTCGGATTTGTCGCTTGAGCGGAGCTGGCTCTTTCGGAGAAAGTTTCGGGAAGAGAGCAATGAGAGCAGCAACTGCGACGCCTCCAACAGGGAGACTGTCATGAAAATGTTAGCAGATCGACTTGATGTAATAGAGAGGGGTTACCATACTTAATAAGGAAGCACCACTTCCAAGTTACACGATCAGTGAAGGCACCTCCAATGAGAGGTGCAATGACTGATGCGATGCCAAAAACACCGCCCATCATACCAACATACCCAGCTCGCTTGTGCAAAGGAGTGACACTCGTAATGAGAATAGTGCTGCCGGAGTAGATGCCTGCTGAGCCCGCACCAGCGATGGCACGGCCGATGATGAAGGCGACTGAGTTCGGGGCAACACCACACAAAAGTGAACCGAATTCGAAGAGGAAGATTGCGATGAGATAGATTGTTTTCGTCGAGTAAAAGGTGAAAATACGACCCCAAAGGAGTTGCGTAGCGCAGCTGGTAATCAGATACGCGCTTGCATACCAGCTGACATCGTTCAGTGAATGAAAATCGTCCGTAATGCGAGGAATCGCCGTGGTGATGATTGTTCGGTCCAAGGCAACAAGGAACATGGCGATCATGTTAGAGAGGATGATGACAGCTAGTTTCAGCCCTTGAGGGTATTGAGACTCGTCATTTCCTTCCTCAGTTGCTTCAGATGGAGGTTCCGTAGCAATCTTTTCGTCGGGGAAACTTCTTCCCTCCTGGTCATGAATGTCCGACATGATGCGAGTTATCGAGCAGGGTTGTTAAGTAATGAAACAGCAGAAGATGTAGTAGATTTCTCTGTTTGTGCGTTGATGCGTTGAAATGCTTGTTGGGTTGAATATTTCGGAAGAGCCACTTCAGATAATTTTGCAGCATATTTATTCAAAGTCATCATACTTAGCATGATTGAGGATTCTCGCAAAACGGAGCCGATGAAGACTTGACCATCATCGCGGAACGGGACTCGGCGCCGGGCACGTAAGATTTAAGATGTGGGGCCGATAGAGCGGTCCCGCGCTGAAGGGACCCACACGGTCTGGCGTCCATAAAGTCTGGCTCGGGGGATGAACACAACAAGCCACCGAGGGGCGTGGCACGCGTGCGCAATCTCCGCATGGGTCGCTACGCTAACCCTCGTTCAGAATTCCTTGGGCACCTGGGCTGTCATCCCGAGAAGGAAACGTAAGCGGCCGCGGACTTTGTGTTAGCTCGGGTACTAGTTCGGGACCGAAGCTCCTCTGCCGCCTCAATCACGCCGGCGTGCGGTCCCGCAAAGCACACCAACGGCACCACGCGGCATGCACTAATCGTTCGATCGACACCGTCCGCACTCCAACACTGATAAAATGTCTCGCTTGATCTTCGTACGCAATTCTGTGGCGCAGACGCAAAAGCCAATGGAACGACCTTCGACGGGGATCCATATTTTACATCGACTTCTCGGCAAGCAAACGTATCCGGCGTAAAGAGAAGATCTGGCGAGCACCTGATTTCTTAAAAAGCATCCCTCTTTCATGTTCTCTGGGGCTGTCGTACTCACGCCGCCTTCGAATCATACGAGCTTTCTGCGAACCTCTCCCTCCACGAAGCGGGCCGTCTTTCAAACCTCCGATATGGCCGAATTGAAGATCACCAGGGGGCACTCGTGCGTCCCATGCCAGAACCGCAAGATTAGATGCAATGGGCATACTCCATGCACATATTGTATCAAAACAGGCAAAGACTGCGTCAAATCTGCCCGCGGAAGCCAGAGCCGACCGAGGCCAACATCTGGTGGTCCGTCCGGTAGCACCGGGCAAGTCGTTGCAAACGGAGACGAGCGACGCTATGTTGAGGAGTAGGTTGACCGCACTTATGATTTTTTTTGTATGAGCTGACGATTTTGTTTTACAGCAACAAGCTGTGGACGAGCCTCGGCGGTGAGGTAAGCCAAATTGAGTCCACTTGGCGATGGTAGTCCTTGCCCGACTAACGATACATCGTAGCTGGGGCCCAGAAGCGCGAGCTCGGAGGACGAGAGATCTTCAGCAAGACACTCGTCTCCACCCCAAATCAATCTCATCTTCGGCCACCAACAGATGCAGTCCCCAGAGCTACTACACCCATCGCCTATCCAATCATTCAAGTTATGGCAGGTCTTCCTGAGCAACGTCCATCCTCTGACGAAGATCATCCATGGTCCATCTATGCAGGAAGAGGTTCTTAGAATGCTCTCAGATCCAACAGCAACCGATCGATCAACGGAAGCTCTCATATTCTCCATCTATCTTATTGCAGTCGTCTCCTTGACAGACGAAGAGTGCCGAAACCTTCTCGACGAGCCGAGAGAAAAGCACCTTGCGAGGTACCGGTACGCTACCGAGGTGGCATTGAGTAGAGTCGACTTCCTCAGGTCTACGAACCTCAAAGTACTTCAAGCATTCACAGTTTACTTGGTAGGTCTGCGTCAATTACCTTTTTCGATCTGTGCACATGACTGACTGGCTTGGTGAAGCTCGCTCTCCGGTATCTATGCGACAACGATATACTCTGGCTTATGACTGGCCTAGCCACCCGGATGGGCCAGAGAATGGGCCTACACCGCGAAACGTCCCTAAAGGGTCTCTCTCCTTTCGAAGCAGAGATGCGACGACGGGTTTGGTGGCAGATTATTATCCTGGATGGCCGAGCCGCTCAGGTGACTGGGGCTTCTATGAACCCGTCAGCCTACCTCCTTGGTGACACCAATAAGCCTGTGAACGTTAATGATGGAGATCTCGTGCCGTCTATGGGACTGCCACCCCCTCCATCCCCAATTACCACGGAAATGGCTTTCTGCTCCGTCCGAATTGAGATCGGAGCGTGGATGATACACCAAAAGACACTTCCTGGTTTCGGAACATCAAGTGACGGGAGAGTCAAGTTCCTCAAAGCTGTTGACGATCTTGAAAAGACGATTGAGCACAGGTACCTAAGGAACATTGACAAGGGGATTCCTCTGAACCACCTCGCGCTGAGCATGGCTCGATCCGCTATCTGCCAACTTCGAATATCGACTTGCCATCCCATGCGGCGCCAGGACAAAGACACAGAATTGAGCCCAGACCAAATAGAGATGCTCCTGGAAAATAGCATGGAGGTCATTCAATACGACATTGTGGCCCATACAACACCTTCACTTCAACACTTCTTATGGCACGTTTCTAATTTCTTTCCCTTCGAAACGTTTGTCTTACTCGTCGGAACCCTTCCCAGCTGCGGAAATAGTCAGCTCGCAGAGCGAGCATGGGACGTGATCAACCAAGTCTACGAGCACCACCCGTCATTCATTTCGAATCGAAATGAGCCGTTGTACCGAGCTCTTGGAAATCTCACATGCAGGTCTTGGAAAAAGGCACAAGCCAATGGACAACAGCGAGGCTTCCCACCGCTAGCAGAACCGCCCTTCATGTCAAGCCTCCGGAGGGAATCTAGTCCGGGTTTTCAAGAACAGAATCCCACATGCAATTCCACGACGGTGTCAGGTGATGGTGGCCCGCACACTCCGTACAGCCTCCCATCCAACGCTAGCATTGACGACGACAACAACGCTGTGATGACCGACTGGCAGCAGCTACCACAAGATATACATGATGGCTCTTTTGCAATGGGACGTGAGAGTATGGATATGGATTGGGAGTTCTGGCAATATTTGCTAGTCGACAAGGTGCCAGGTGGGCAAGAACCATCGAAAGCAAATCCGTTATCGTTTATGGCCTATGATAATTGATGACCTCGACACTACCATTGGCAGATTTTGATCGAGGTGAAAGTCTATATACAAGAATCGGAAATGTGACGGCACCCGGCGTAGCATGTGCCTCGAAAGGACATCCAAATGATGACGCTTGTGACGACGTTGTCTCGCTGCGACCCCTGTATTCAGTAGTCGAAATGGAGAGGTCCGAATAGACTGATGTGATAAGTCCTGAGGGTTTGCTATCGAGCATTAGCTGGGCTGTAATGAGGCCTTCGAACATGTCCAGACGAAGCTTACTTGATTGAGATCCCTAATATAGTCATGCTGACCACAGCCGAACGGGGGTTGGCCGGCTTTTCTTTCCAGAGACGTACTTGGCGGTCTGTTTGCGAGAGGTCCTAGGCTCCTTATGAAACCGAGTTCATCATGCCACGGCCGACGGAGTTGAAGCAGGAGGTTGTGGGAACAACACATATCAATTGATTGGATCGTGCCGTCGTCTTAGTACTCGGGGGAGTAGTAGGAGAAGTCGTCAAGGAATGTATCTAATCGGCTTCTGGTACGGTGATACGGCGGCGGAGAGTATGATGGATATGAAGGCAAGGAATATGGTGAATATGAAGGCGGAGAGTATGGCGACGGAGAGTATGGCGGCGGGGAGTATGGCGGCGGGGCATCAATGGTAATGACATCCGGGTTGGTTTGATAGCCAACCTCAGTCCGGCCGCACTCGACACAATGCCTGCGATGTCGTCGTGGGATTTTGCAGTTGAACAGAAAGAAGGCGGCGGTTTCGAAATCACTTTTGATACCTGCAATGGCATTACCGAGCACCGTTCGAAGGCCCATGTTGATAGAATAGGGCGTGTGGTATTTGCGATGGAGGCTGTGAGTGGTGACAATTGTATGCAACAGAGGACTGTGTGGGATAAATGGTCGGAAGAGAGAAAAGTGCATTTTCTGTTGAAGAGGAAAGAAATATATACCCAAGTCCCAATTAACACAATGGCTTGTAACAAGTTGTATCTTTTCTCCTTAACGTAGTTCAACGCACAAGGTGGACAAGCTCTAGACAACCCTTCGTAGCCGCTTCCCTTTTCTGCTAACTTAAAATGTCCAAGCTAGTACCGTGATAGCCATTTACCAAAGCATCACGGAAATTTCTTCGTCCGACTACCATTAGAATTTCCTGACGCACAGCTTTCCGGATGAGCCTTAGAGCTTCGCAGAAGTCTCGCGTTTGACCAAAGCCCTCAAGTCCTTTCGCAGAATCTTGCCAGAAGGGCTTTTGGGGATAGCATCTATGAAAATGACCCCGCCCCGCAGCTTCTTGTAGCTGGCGACCTGTCCCTCGACCCATTTAGCAATCTCCTCTGCTGAGATTTGCTTCTTGTCCGCCACCACATATGCCCTGAGGAAGCTGTTAGTAAGAATCTCTAAGCAGTCCAACCGCTACGCACCTTGGAAGCTCTGTCCCTTCCCCATCCACGCCAATGACTGCTGCGTCCTGGATCTTTGGGTGAGTCACTAGCAAGGCCTCTAGCTCCGCCGGAGCAACTTGGAACCCTTTGTACTTGATGAGTTCCTAAATTCACGTCGGTCAATTTTCGATGACTGTGATAGTCCTGGTATACTGTGTGAAGACGTACCTTCTTGCGATCAACAAAATAAAATTTGCCATCCTTGAAAGAGAGTCTGTCGCCAGTGCAAAACCAGCCATCGACGAAGGCCTCCTTATTCGCCTGCTCGTTCTTGTAATAACCCTTCGTCACGATGGGTCCACGGCACCACATCTCGCCAGGTTCTCCAACCTCGACGTCTTTGCCTTCCTCGTCCACCAGCCGAGCCTCACAGTTCGCGACAATCGGAGAAACGCTGCCGGTATCGTCGGTCATATGTCGAGGAAGAATAGTAAAGCCGCCCGTTGTTTCGCTGAGGCCCCAAGTTTGACCGAGGATTCCCTTGCCCTTTCCAATCTTTTTCTGCGCTTCGATTTGCGTTTCCCTTCCGAGTGCTGCCGCTCCGGTGAGCGCAAATTCAACGGAGTCAAATTGGTCTGTGACGAGAGGAGACTTGGCGATCATGAGGTAAATGGGTGGTACGCTGAAGAATGTTGTGACCTTGTACTTCTTCATGTAATCGAGAAACTCTGGGAAGTTGAACTTCTTCATCCAGTAGACAACGCCTCCCATGAAAGTCTGGTTCACAATATATGCCTGCAGGCCTGAGATATGGGCAGCCGGAAGATGAGCCAGGGTGATGTACTTCATCCCGGGACCGGGACGCTTCTTGTAGTACTCAATCGTGGGCGTGGAGATGAACATTGTTTGGGCGATCATATTCGCGTGCGAAATTTTGACGGCCTTGGGGACGCCAGTGGTACCACTACTGTAGATGTAGCAACCAACAGTATTCTCCAAAGTTGTCTGGTCTGTGACGCGTTCCCAGTCCAGCTGTTCCTTTGATAGCGGCACTTCCTTATCTGTCTTAGCTTCAAAGAGCTTGAACTCGTGTGTGTCGCCAATATAGAGAATGCGGTCTGCAGGCAGACCGGCTGCCGTTCCTCCAGCGGCTGCTAGAGCTTTCAAATCAGGGCTGCAAATGACCATCTTGCTCTCAGTCAGGTTGATCTGGCGGGCGACTTCAGGCGGCGACGAAGATGGAGTTGACGCTGCCACGGACCCGCCGGCGGCCATGATGCCGTAGAAGACGGTCGGAGCCATGTAGTGACCCGTGAAGATGACTTGTACGACATCTCCTTTTTGAATGCCATATTTATGGCGCAGGGTGTGAGCAAGTTGTTTCAGGGTGGTCACCAAACGCCCCTTGGTGATAGACTTGCTCGGGTCTGCGGCCTCCGCGTGGAGGATGGTGTCGTCGTTGAGTCTCTCATTGGGATAATCTGAGACCGCGTTCAGTGTCAAAGGCTGAAATGTCTACAGTAAGGCACGCGGAGGCTGTGGGTGGTCACACATACCAAACAAAAACGTTAGCAAATCGACTTTTGGGAGGTCAATTGTATCGGGAGACCGGTAGATGGTCTGGCCACCCCGCTTCTCAACAATTGTTGCCATTGTGAAATATGCTGTGGATTTGTTTCCGTTTCTTGTTATTGTGGTCTCCACTATGAGCAAAGATTTATCATGTAAGCTGCGTTGCGTTCATGAACGAAAACTTGATGAGGAATCGTGGGGGGTGATGTTTTGACGAGGCCCAATCCGGCTGAATGGGAACAGTGGAGAGACAAAATAAAGTGAAGGCCCGCGCGGAACTGGGAATTGGCGGCGTTCGGAGAGGGGCCAGTGCACGCGGAATGAAGAGAGCTTGGGGATGTGACGTGAAGTAAGTTGAGTTGAAGGGGGTCTGACCGAGAAATGAGAGTGTTGGTGAATCGCAGCCTCCGACTCGCTTCCCCGCATTATTCTTATCAAGATTGGGGGCTGGCTGCGTTATGGGTCTCTTCACCCGCGAAGGCCGTGACAAGCCGGCGCCCTGCGCTCCCTTGCATCGACTCAGATCGTGTCTGCCGAGGTCAGGGAGACGTGTCAGTGGTTACTTGTTGGGGTAACCCCTTCATTAGCGCGTTCCTATTTTGTGTTCCTTGGCTGCGGGGGAACTCCAGCATGTTGAGGGCCCGAGAACCCGAGCCAGCGTTTTCGGCGGTGACTGGTGTACTGGTGTCCGGGGTGGATGTGCGGGGAAATTCCGTGGAGGTTAGCTACGATCCATACATTGGCGACGAATTCTTGGTCCATTTCCTGCTGATTAGTGTTGGGAACGCAATGATCTGCTATCTAGCCGAAGGTTCAGAATTCTTTTAAGGGGTTCTGCTCGGGGCGACGAATGAGCCCAGGCTCGGCATATTACAACTACCTTAAATGAAGAGCCTACACTTATCACGGGTGGCATAAGTAATGTTGCTCCTTCTAGGGGTCCACTTGTTGATCCCGGATGTTCTTGCTTATCCAGGAGAATGTCAATGATTGGGGGATATTCGGTGACTGAAGTCCCAATGCCCTTGCTGCGCCGCGTTCAAAATCGTGAGGACGGCTGCTTGCTTAGTGGTCGGGTTTAATCGAGTTAACCCCGGCTTGTTGCCGTCTTCAACTCATTCCCACGTCAGCCTTCAGGCTTTCAGACTGACTGCCAGTCATCTTCACCCTCTCTCTCTTCTGCCTGCCTGCAGCCGAACCCCTCATGATTCGCACCGATAACGACGGGTAAAACAATTGTGGGCGTCGATCGGCTTATGCAGAGATGCAATTCCATTTCGTTGAAGCTGGAAATGATACCCGGAGCAGCCGGAAGGCTGCCAGAAGTCATGTTATGAAGGGGAAAAATGCCGGAAAAACGTTATCAACACGCGTTCGAAAGCGCGTCCATGGCGCGAAGCAGACACAAAGATCGACAGTAGAACCTACGGGAGTGATAGGATCATTGCGACGCATGGTTGGAAACGACATCTCAAACTTCTCGCCAGGGGCAGAATTACTACCACATACGCGCCTGTTGCTTCATCAGTGTACGTATGGATCGCGCTTGGACACGAAGCTTGGCTAATGGCGTTATCATAGTCTTCAGTGTCGTCGGCGAGGCTATCTATCCACCAGAGATATGCCACGCACCTGACCCTCTCAAGTCCGCATGGCTTCAATACATTATCAACGATAAAGCCTGTTCGTGTAGTGAATTGGGTTGCGAGACAGGTTTCCTAACATCCACTAGTTTTTCATGTATCACTTGCTACAGTTGCGACCTGCCTCGACTTCTTTCAACGGTCAGAGGAGTCAGAGCAAGCCATACTGCACACCAACCAAGCTTTCAACATGATCAATGAGAGGTTGTCTGGGACCGAGGCTTTATCTGACACTACCATAGGCCTCGCATGCATGTTCAGTGTCCAGGAATCTGTCAGGGGCGATCTCGAAAAGTACAACGTGCACCTCAAAGGGCTTTATCAGATGATTGAACTTCGCGGAGGTATCCGCGTTTTCGAGGACAATTTGGAAGTGTTGCAGAAGATATGCCGGTGAGCTGTGAACATGGCCAAAGGCTGTGGCGAAACACTGACTTTGGTGTTAGGACTGATGTGCAATATGCTTTGCTCACAAACTCCTGGCCGAGGTATCCCTACATGGAGATACCCAAACGCGTGGTGGAAGAATTGGCAACTACACAGGGGTGTGTGCCCGGAACTCTATCTGTCATCTTTCAAGGTGCATCATCCGTGGTCTGTCAACTTGTCAGTGACATTGAAAGATGTTGTTTCATGTTCAACGATATCTGTGAGAAACGGAGACCGACACTTGCCTCGTACGACTTTCAGGGCACGCTAGTATCTCTCTGCCATCGACTGGTCCGAATACGGCTGGCAGATAATTCTACACTCAGCACGGTGCAGAAAGCATGTCTTTCAGGTTTGGCGTGTTACATCAGCAGCTTGATGCTTCAATTTGGTCGTCAACGGCACTTGCGCTGCGACCTACTACGGGACGAACTCAAAGGTGTCATAGAAGAGATGCTAGGCGATGTCTCATGCTCCGCTCAAGTAAGACTTTGGCTTCTACTGCTCGGAAGCATATCTGTATTTGAACTGGAGGATGATTCATGGCTCCTTCCTCTTCTGCATCTGGAAATGAAAACTTCGGGACTACAGGGCTGGATGCAGATTGAAACAGAGATGCGACGGTTTCCTTGGATAGGTTCGTTTCATTGCCCTCAAGGCAAAGCAATATGGACAAAGGTTCAAAACCTTTCAATTACCCCCTCATAGAAATATTTGGGAATTTGGCTTTTGTATTGAGCTTACAGCAGGTGAAAACGAGGAATCCAACATATGAAGATATCAACCGACCAGGTTCTTCACACATCGTGGCTCGATCTGTTCTACTCTGGTTGCCAGTTGAGTCCAGACCATGTTCTGAAACTTTTGTCCGCTCTCATTCTTCACCCACTCAGGCACCCAGTGGCTGTGTTTGAATTAGCATTTGTGCCAATGGATGCTTCGTAGGCTATGGATGTAGACTTACTCTTTGATCTGGCAATCTGAGATATATTGCCCATGGCTTTCTGCCCCAGCAAACATGCTATGCAAGATCGTGCGGCTCCCCATCTCCGGAGTTCTTCCAATCACCGCATTCATCATCCAAACCTGAATTCGTAGGGCCATTCTGCCATATTTCGCCAGACCGGTGTTGCAAAGCCCGGGATTGAGGAGGTTCAAGACGACGCCGGTGCGAGATGCTGGTAGGATGGTCGCGAGTTGTCGGACGGCAAGTATCTGAACCAGCTTGGTGACGGAGTATCTGCAGTCGTTTAGTCATCAAGCCGTTTGCATGGCACCTCTTATTTTGATGAGTGAAGAGTAGCTAGAAGAGTTGTGACATACCTTTTCTCCATGGGAGACTTTCCTTGGGTATTCAAGACATCAAAGACATCCTTGTCTCCGTATTTCAGGAAGTCCGGCTGCGTGAAACCAAGTCCAGAGGTAACAACCACGATATGGGGTTGGGAGTCTGAAGTCTTGGCCGTCTCCATCAACTTTGGATGAAGAAGCAGTGCCAGCATGACTGTGCCGATGACGTTAACAGTGATGCTTGTCTCCATGCCTTCAGCTACTGTCCACTCATCCAGGGCTGCAGTGGCGTTCTCAACCAATCCGTCAAGACGGCTGAGCTCCGAAGAAGCTCTCTTCGCAAAAGCTCGGATGGAGTCATAAGATGACATGTCGAGCCGCCAAACCTCGGTGACATCCGGTCTGCCGGTGGAGGCATCGATGCGAGCCTTTGCATCTTGACCTCTCTCAATGGATCTGACGGCGATAATCACACGAGCTGATCCAAGGTTGACAAGGTGCTTGACAGCTTCAAAGCCAATGCCAGAGTTTGACCCTGTAATGATGTAGGTTTTGCCGGCACAGATCTCCTTTGTTGGGACGATGGGAAGATGTTGTCGCTGAGCGCGAATGAAGCCTATGGTATCCATGGCGTCTTTGAGAAAGATTCAGAACAGTGTTCAGGGCGGGAGTAGTTGAAATGTAGGTTTGCTATGTCTGCCACTTTTGCATCTCCAGCATCTCGAGCGAGTCTCATCCTTTTATGGCTGTTACTTGACTCTGGCAACCCTCCTCCATCTCGGGGATACCATCATTTCCCTGTTTTTCGGACTCCGTACAGCATAATCTCCGGTGTTTGCCTGGAACCTCAAGCTTCATGTGCACTCAAGTTTTTCACTTTTGGTACCAAGACGACGCATCTGACAGGAGGCTTCCAACACAATTCCCAACTTGACCAATCAGAGATTTGTTGCCTGATTGGGTATGGTGGCTGCGGAAGCCGTCCCACACCAGACGATCCACTGACGGCGATGAGCCGGCCGAGTTCACGCCGTGTATCCGCTGTTCCCCGTGTGCGTGGTTTTCATAGCTTGTCCTTATCTCACTTCCGGGTTAGGTCTCAAATGCTCTGTGCTCCCTTCGACATGGCCATGACACAAGAACCGCAGGCTTGTAGGTCGGCATCGATCGATGATCCGGCTATCATTGTCACTGAAAGAATTTGAGCGGCGCGCATTCGTTGGAATCGTAATAAACATGCGTTATCTTCAACATGGTCCGATTAAATGAAGTTGGCATATCAATCATGAACTTTGGTCTTTCAGTTTTGGACGCAGCAATTGTCGGCGATAAGCCGCCCGCGGGCTCAAATTGCATCCGTTCACCTGCCAGCTGGAGCCGGGTGGCTTTCTTTATTAACGGATGTTTGAAAATATGTGTGCAGTATCTCAAGATGCTTTCTCCCAAGATGGCTACTCCAATTTGAGCCTTATCCCTGTCAGAAATTACGAAGACCACGTTCTCTGTAGATACTATCAAAAAGCAGTATGAGCCTTCGCGCAGAGGATGTGCATCGCGAAGGCCCCCATGTGCTTGGGGAGAGTACATGAGACTCATGCACATGGATGCAATTGTCGGTGCGGCTGGTGCGAGCTTATTCACCGCGAACATTCGGAAGCTATCGGGGACTAATTGACCCCCAAAAAGATGAGTGCAAACTCCGGAAGGATTTTAGTTTAGGCCTGAACAGGCTAATTTACCTCCGGCTCGGACTGCCATCGTACCCGAAAGGGCCGCAACCCGGCCAACAATGCCAAAATGCCCTGTAATTGGCAGGTCCAAATAGTGGGCTTAGAAATCTTGCATTTCATTAGTCAGTGGGCCACCTGTGTCTTTTAGTGAAGTCCAGGGCAGAGTGGGAGGCCGAACGAACCCCACGACGAAACCGCGCGCGTCTTCTTTGTTGGTTTGCAAGACGCCACAGGGTCAAGCCTGAACTGATCTGGATCCGCTGACGCATCTCGGAAGCAAATCCTCATACTAGCCATGGATTATCGATATGTCGATGTCGACATTGAGATGGGGTTGAGCTTGAAAGGCGTGATTGGAATATTAAAGAGACCGCATTTCTTCCCCCAAAACCAGTTCACTCCTCTGCATCAGTACTTAACAACATCAACATCCTCCCTGAACCGAAATACTTCAGCCGCCAAAGCTTAGCATTCCACCACCCTAATCACCGCAAACGGACGAAGCAGTATACTTGAATTCATCGCCTAACCGACGTCTTACATCAACCTCAACTATACAAAATATCAAACCTTTAGTCATTATAAAATGTCTGGACAACAGGGACGCAAGATCGCCATTGTCGGTGCCAGCGGCAACGTTGGCGGCGGCACCCTCAAGGCTCTCCTCGCCAAGGGCATCCACACTATCACCGCGGTCACCCGCACCGAGTCAACTGCCACCTTCCCCGAGGGTGTGATCGTGAAGAAGGGAAGCTACGAAGACGAGTCCTTCCTCGTCTCCGCATTCCAAGGCCAGGATGTCGTCCAGCTCGCCCTCGGCTTCTCCAGCTACGCAACGGGCCAGGAGCCTCTGATTCGCGCCGCCGCTAAGGCCGGTGTGAAGTGGATCCTGCCCACCGAGTACGGCTCCGCCCCGGACCCTTCTAAGCTTCTCGATTCCAGCCCTATTCTCCAGGGCAAGATTCAGATTCGCAAGTTGATTGAGGAGCTCGGCTCTAGCTGGATCGCTATTGTCAACAACCCCTGGTATGATTGGTCCATGGGCGCCGGTTTCTGGGGCATCGACATTAAGAACCGCACCGCCAAGCTGTACGACGGTGGAAAGACCAAGTTTATTACGACCAACATTGGCGTCACCGGTAAGGGTACCGCTGGCGTTCTGAGCCTGCCCGACGCCGAGCTTGAGAAGTACCGCAACAAGCCTTTCTACCTTAAGTCTTTCTACATCAGCCAGCGCGACATGCTCGACAGCATTCAGCGTGCTACTGGTACCACGGACAAGGATTGGAAGATTGAGGAGCCTGACGCTGCGACTGTTGTTGCCCAGGCTGAGGAGGCTGCTAAGAAGGGTGACCATGTCGCTGGTCTGATTTCCTTCTATGTTAACCATATGAGAGCTGGCTGGGGAGGTGACTACAATGACAAGGTCACTGACCTGACCAAGATTGGTCTTGAAGCCGAGGATCTCGACGAGACCACTAAGAGAGTTGTCAAGGAGGTCGAGGGACAGTAGTTGCATGTCAAACAAAAAGCTCCTGAAGGTTTAGAAATTTTAAATTATTTCATATCAACGTTGTTCACATATCGTCTCAGAATTTCAAGCGGACTACAACCCCCATGTATAAACACGATCACGTAGTAGACGACGCTGCCAGGCTGTATTGTTCATAATGTGTCCGAAGCCTAAATGACAAATAAAAAGTCTCCTTCAGCCTTTCTCATAACTTTATTACTACATTAACCTCCCGCCCAGAAACAAAGGCCCAAGGGCTATAAGCCGTAGCGCAAAGATATCTTTCTGCCATGAAGAAACCACCCATAGAAGCAGTATCATCTGTGTGGTTTCCCTCCGTTCGTCTGAACTCCGCATATTCTTGCTTAGTCAACAGCAGCAGAAACAGCGGCTCATGAATCTCATCGTCGAATCCAATATACACAACAACCCTGC